TGTGTCTTTTTCCAATTTTGCACTATATGTATGTAGTCCCAAACCCCTTCCACAAAGTTGTTTTCAGCTCATAGAGACCCTACAGGATAGCGTAAAATCGTCTTATAGAATTTTCAAGACTGTAAATCCTTACGGAAACAGAGTGCCACATTTATCTCCTGCAGAGCAGCTGATGAACTCAAACTGGAGACCTCTTTTGTTCGTAGCCAAGTGCTTAACCCATGAAAGCTGCTTTTCCATACAAATACCACCCATGAAAAAGTTTCTATTTTCATTTAAAAAATGAAAACAATTTGAAGGCAAAATTGTGTAAAAGCAACAAAGCACCACGCCTGACTCCACAGAAGACCAGAAGTTTGTACCAGGTAACTAAGGGAGGAATGGCATGGAAGGTAGGTGGAAGATGAAGCAAAGAGGGAGCAAGGGAGGGCAGTCTGTGGGGGGAACTTAAGGATGAATCTCATAGAGTGACAGGAAAGCCCATGCTTAGGTTGATGTGAGCTGGCGATGAAAAGCAGGTCAGCAGCCAAAGAGAAGGAATGGGGCACTGGCTCAGTGTTCATTTCCACTGAGGATGGGGGTCCTTTTGGAAGCTTGGAGGAGAGCAGCAGGCAGAGAAAGTGTGAGTGGGTCTATAGCATTAGGAAAACAGGAAACAATGAGAAACAGAGACAGGAAGAGGAACCCTCTCCAATCATAACAAAGGGAGAGTGGTAGAAGGTGATGGAGGGTAGTTGGGAGTGAGCTGCACAGCCCCCTCCCACACAACCCCCAGAGGGCTTGAGGTCAGGTACTGGACTAGCTGAGGCACAAAAGAGTTGTTGTTGGGCTAGAAGAAGGAGAAACCAGCTCAGTGGGAAGAGGGGCCTGATAGTCATCGTGGATGAGGATGAGAAGCAGGCCTGACCCTGTGCTGCTCGGGATGGTGCCAGCCTCACTCATTGACCCACCTCTACGAAGAGTATGTGCTAAAGGCAGCCCCTCACTGCTGCCATGCCAGAGAGCATAGACCCTGCATCCCTCCTCCTTGTCCAGAAAAAAACAGACATGTGCTCCTCTTCCCTACAGCAGCTAGACAGGGCAGCTGAGTAAAGGAAGGCGAGATTTCCCCTCCCACCCACCCTGTCCAGTCCTGCTCCCTCCCAACACTCTTCCCAGAAACAGAGGACAGTCAACATGCCTCAGGCGGGATGGCCTTGTGTTCTTTCTGTGACTTCATTATAAACTGGCTTCCCTGAAGAGTGGTGAGGAACAGGGGGCAGAGACAAGGAGGCAGACAGGACTTGACTGGGGACCCAGTGGCAACTTCCCTGCCTCCAAATTCACACTTCATAGATTCTGATCTGTCTTCACTGCCAAGAATGGGGCAGCATTTCTACAGAGACATCCCAGGGTGGGCAGGCTGGGGAGAAAGAAACATGGTCTCTGAAGCCTGAGCCAATCTTACTAATAGAGGAGGGTATTCTGAAAACCAGCCTATGATCTCCACTTCTAGGAGGCCTGGCCATTGACATGGGCTGGCACAAAGCGGACAAGCAAAGCAGAGCCAAGGTGGGTGAAGCAGACATTTAAAAGCCCAAGGGTTTCAGATCTCGTCACTCTGCCTGGGCATAGAGCTACTTCTTGGAATTCAGCCAGCTTTCCTGGGAAGGCCCTTTTCCCCCACCCTACCTCCCCTGGCTCTCATGCAACAGGAACTCTCCTTGGAGAAGGGACATGGAGCAGAGGAAACAAAGGCATGTCTGTACTACCTCTCCACCCACATGGATGGTCAGGTCAAGGTGACCTCAATCTGTTCTCCCCAGGGTGGGGGTATTGGCAGGGCCTTCCTGGCTAACCTGGTTGCCAGTGGTGAGGCCGAAAGGGAACTTGGGGCAATTGCTCCTCCATAAACTAAACCCACTTCTACATAAGGCTTCTGTTATGGATCAAATTGCATCTCCCTCCAAAACATGTCAACTTAGCTGAACCATGATTCTCAATATTATGTAATTCTCCTCCCCTTTCTGATCTGATGTAATTATTCTACGTGTTGTCAATATTAATTCTGTGATTTTTATGAGGCAAGATACAATCTGTAGGATTAGGTTGTGTCTTGAGTTAATCTCTTCTTTTTAAAGTTAATCTCCTTTGAAGTAGAAAAGAGATTAAATAAAACAGATGAGAGGGAACTCAGTATCACGAGTGAAGAATATCTGGGAGTGAAGCGTGTCCTTTGGAACTCTGAAATTTCTTGAACCTAGGGAAGACTGGTAACAAGAGCTTTCCCCAGGGCTCTGTGCTCTGAATTCAGTCTTCTAGCTTCCTATACTGTGAGAGAATAAATTTGTATTGATACAGCCATCCACCTGTGGTTATTTCTGTTACAGCAGCTCTAGAAAGCTCAGACAGCCTCTATTCAACAGCAGTGCACACACAGGCTGACATGAGGCTGGAGGTGCCACAATACAGTTAAGGGCGGGCCTCACCAAAGGAGACACCCTTTTTCTGTACATACATGCTGGGGCTCGGGGACGTGGGATGGCAGTACTAGGACCAGCCCATAAAGCCAGACAATGTGAATCCTGGTGCCACATACTGGTCAGACAGCTCTAGACAGTTTCTTGCCTGGACTAATCAAAGGAGATGATTCTGGTCCTGCCTCCTTTGGAGTATTGTAAGGATTACTTGAGTAGAAGCAAACAACCTTGTTTGTAAACATGTGCTATGCGATTATTATTCAGTTCAGGATATGTGTGTGTTGTGCTAAGCCGGGGACTTCCAATAAAAAAATTATAGCCAATTTTCTTGTGTGTTTTTCATCCTTCCTAACCTAATGTTGTGACTTGGAATTGAGGGTGAAAGACAGTTAGAGGCAAGGGACTCCAGCTTAGACTAGACCCTGAGTACTTTTGGATCTTTCTATACCCCATCTACTAGACAGTTTCCTCCCCCATAGCCTGGGCCCCTAAAACCACCAAAGTGTTTTGTGGTGGGAAATAGCAGGGACTAAACCAGGGGACAGAAAGCAAAAAGAAACCCCAGACTTGACATTCCTGGTTTGTTGTGCTGTCCAGAGCCATGACCACAGTCACCTCTGTCCCCAACCCAAATCTGATGCCCTCTTCTCCTTCACCCCTTAGAAGAGCCTTTGCCCATCCCAGGAAGGCTCCAAAACTCCTCTCCTTCTCCATGGCTTCTCAAGGTGAGGACAGAGGAATGGAGAAACAGACAGAAATGCAGACAGAACAAGAGGCCTAGACAAAGAAAAAGGCAATCAGAGCAAGAAGGAAACACACAGCAAAGGGCGCCCAGATTCAAGGCCTTAGAGACAGACCATGTGGGAAGGCAGCAGGAGGTCAGCCAGGGTGCAGCTGTCTGCCACTGGACACAAGGTCAGAAGTAGAGGGGACCTGTGAGTCTCTGAAGGGCACATCTTTTTAGGCCAGTGCCTTCCATTCTGTGTGCTAGAACTTCAACACCAGCTTTTTAGGACTTAGGAGTAGGATTCCCTGGCCCGGCCCAGCCCAGCCCAATGTTTGGTGGGTGGGGCTGCCAGCTGGGACAGCCACCCCTGTGGGGCCCTAGGGTGCAGCTTGGGAAAGCAGAGGTGCCTGGAGAAGCAGTCAGACAGGCCCTCTGGGGCCTCCACATTACCCTAAGCTGGGTGCCCAAAGTAAATGTTGGAGCATGGCAAGGGTGGTCTTCTGCCCCACCTGCCCCAGCTCAGAGAACACAGGAACTAAAGGCATTGCCTCCTACTGACTCCTCACTTGCCTGAGATGAGGGGTCAGGGGGGCACAGATATCAAAGCTGGGCCTACCCACTGTGAGAAGACCCATTTGGACCTGCTGCTGTGTGACACTGGCCAAGTCACTTCCTCTCCTGGGCCTCTGTTTCTCTGTTTATAAAATCATTTTTGCAGTTGCTTCCAGCTCTGATAGTTGACTCCCATTCCAGGTGCTTCCTAGCCATGTATCACACTCAGTCAAATCCATAAATACAGAAAAGGGCTAGAAGGCAAACAAGCTGCTCGTCTTCCTCTCTCTGGCTCCCCAGCAGAACTTCTGGGGAGTAAAATTTGCTCAGTCCTTCAGGGAGCCCCTTGCAGCTTTCAATCCCCTCCCTTTTGGCTTTGCCAAAGCTAAAAAGAAAGGAGGTAGGAGTGTGATGTGGTCATTCCAACTTCTTCAGGGAAGCTTTAAACTTTAGGTTGTTTTCTTTAAGTAAAAAGAGTGAAAGTGGAGGAGATAAGAACAGGATCAGCGAGGGGTAAGGGGACAGAGGGGAGCAGGGAATGGAGAGAAAAGGGCAAAACTAAGAAGGGATTTGGGAGGGAGGGATGTAAGGAGGCAGATGAAAATTATTCCCCCTAGGACATGCAGCCTTGGCCCAGCTGTGCTGTGAGTGGGCAGCCAGGCTGGCTCCTCCCTTGGTGCTGCCAATACCAGCTGCCAGGCGGGGAGGCCCAGAGAGGGAAGCTGGGCAAAGGGGATGGAAGCCTTCCAGTTCGACTTTACCCAACCCAGAGGGCCCTGTTGGGGGGCCTTTGGCGAGGGGCGCTGGGACCCATTGGGAAGGCGTTTGCTGCTGTGGCAAGGCCTCGAGGAGGCTGTGAGAACTGCGGGTGGGATTCACACCAACCCTGCTCCGGACCTTTCTGAAGGTAGAACCAGCCTCGGCTGTAACGGGGCTGAGGTGAGTTGTGGGGCAGGACAATTGAAGAGCCCTAGTCAGGGGCCTGAGACCAGCGGTAAGGCCCCTGGGCAAGCCCCTGCCCCTCCCTGGACTTCAGTTTCTTATCTGTAAAATTTCGGGGGCTCGAAATAGAAATGTCAAGGTTCTTTCCTCTTCCTACTACAACGCGTTGAGTCGACCGTGGTGGGAGTAATGGAAGGAGGCGTGGTGGGGCGCTCGGCTTCTCTGGAATCCCCAGGCTTTCCCCTCGCTAGAGCTTTGCCTCAGAGGTCACAAAAGCTGTGCCCCCAACCCACATAAACACATATGGTCCCCCCAACCCTAAGGACTCAAAAGATGACAAAGCGTGAGAGCTGGAAGGCAGCTGTAACCAGCGTAGTCCTTCCTACCTCCCTTTCCACAGAGGAGAAAATTGAGGCCCTCGTTTGGGTTTTCCAGCGTCCGGGGTTTCCCAGTCTCGTCCCTCAAGCCCCCAGGGGCCACTCCTGCGTCTCTAGCCCGCCACCATTCCCGGACGCTCCCACCCGGGCCACAGGCTAAGGCTGCCTGGGAGTCCCGGGGGACCCCGCCGTCGGGGCGGCACCTACGCGCGCAGCACCGCCCCGCCTCGCCGCCGGGGGTCCGGCCGCGGCCGCCGCTGCGCACTCGCCGGGAAGCCCGCGGCCGAGGGCGGAGGCGGGGAGGGAGCCGGGCGGCAGGGAGGGGTGCTGGCGCGAGCTCGCGCGCTGTGTATGGTCTATCGCAGGCAGCTGACCTTTGAGGAGGAAATCGCTGCTCTCTGCTCCTTCCTGTAGTAACAGCCGCCGCCGCCGCCTCGCCAGGAGCCCGGGGCTGGAGTGAGAGCCGCAGCCCGAGAACCGGCCCCGCCGCCGGACGACTCGACCCACCAGGTGGGTGGGTGGCCGGGCGGCGCGTCCTGGCGGCGTGCGCCGAGAAGAGGGGCGCGCGCCTCCGGCCTGGGTCCCCGCGCGCCGTGATCCGGGGCCCGACGGGCAGAGGCAAGCACCGGTCCTGGCACTGAGAAGGAGCTTGGGCGCAGAGCGCACCACGGACGAGGGACGAAGATGGAGAGAGACTCTCGCCTGCAGTGGGGAGGCGGCGTTGTCGGGCTGCACAGGGTGACGCGAGGACGCAGCCGGGGGGCGCAGTTGAGGGCGGAGCGTCCAGCCCCCCAAGCTTCTCTCCTTAACAACCCCAGCCACGTGCCCTCGGGGACAAGCCGTCGAGAGTCCCCATTTGCATTGCTCTAATTTGGGGTTGACCTACTCTTTTCCAGAAATGAGGACCAAGGTCCAAGGCAGAGTGGGGGCAAATTCTTGCAGCCCTCCTCGAGAACCTGGGCCCCTGCCTGTTTCTCTTTCAGTTGCGAGTCGCCCCCAACCCCCCACCTGGGGAAGCCCCAGTGGGGCAAGGGGAGAGAAAGAGAGGAAGGGCACCTGCCTCTCAAGCGCCCCTGCCCAAGCCTTAGCGGGTTCCTTGTTGGAGGGAAGGGTGGCCTTCCCCTCCTCACCATCTTTCTTCCCGCACAGGAAAGCGTGTCTGGGGGAAGGGAGGGGTTTGGCTTAACTGCGGTCCAGGGCTGGGTGGGCACAGCGGGCTCAAGGCCTCTACCGAGGAGGCGCCACTTCAGCTCTCAGCGCTCCCTAGGTGATCGACCATGGCGGGCTGGATCCAGGCCCAGCAGCTGCAGGGAGATGCCTTGCGCCAGATGCAGGTGCTCTATGGGCAGCACTTCCCCATCGAAGTCCGCCACTACTTGGCTCAGTGGATTGAGAGCCAGCCGTGGTAGGTGTCCCCAGCCAACCAGGCCCATTGGCTGTTTTGTAGATTGGTGGGACCGTGGTCCTATCTGCCCCGAACTCTGCAAAAGGGGTGGTGTTCCTGGGAAAGGGGAACCAGGAACTGATGAGGGAAGGGAGCTGTTTCTCGATTCTGATGCTTGTGGAACTGCTGGGAACAAGTCATGTGGGTTCTGGAGAACCTTTAGTCATGAGCCTGGGATTTTCATGCCCTTCTTGGTGTCTTGCCCAAGTAGATGCCATAGTAGGCTTCTTTCCCCATCCTGCCCCAAGGGATGCCATCGATTTGGACAATCCCCAGGATCGAGCCCAGGCCACCCAGCTGCTGGAGGGCCTGGTGCAGGAGCTGCAGAAGAAGGCTGAGCACCAAGTGGGAGAAGATGGGTTTTTACTGAAGATTAAGCTGGGGCACTACGCCACGCAGCTCCAGGTGGGTGTGACTGCTGGGCCATCTCTAGGGGGCACAGTGTCTGTCCACCTCCTTCCAATCTCTGATCCCCCTGAGCTTTTTTTCTTGGCCATTGACTCATTGTGACCTTGAGCTTCTTGGCGATTTGTCTGTGCTTCATTTTCCTCTGCTCCTATTCTTCCTAAATGAGGCCTGTTCAGGTTCTTGTAACATATTGAAAAGCAAGGATCTGAGGGTGTTTGTCCCAAGAGAAGGGAAAAACAGGTGGAACAGTGTGATGGACAGATCAAGGTGAAGGAAATCCCTTAAACTGTCAACAGAAGGGATGGATACAGAGTCAAGATTCCTCTCTTCAAGAAAGAAGACTGGCAAGAGTATAGAAATGAGAGAATAGCATACTCCACTTGAGACTCTTAAACCTAATGGAGCTGTTGAATTGTCCAGGAAGCAAGAGTTGGATGGAAGGGCCTGCATGGAGAACTGCAGATTCTCAGTCATGTAGGGGAAGAAGAGGGAGGTTTTGTGGAAGCAGTAAAGGGGTGTGGGTGGTAGTCATAGTCAAGCATTTATTGGAACTCAGTTGTATTTCTTAGAGAGCCCTTCTTAAATAAAGAAGCAAAGTCCTTGCAAAGTAAAAAAAGAAAAAAAAATCCTTCTTAGAAAAAAGAAGAGTCAGAGAAATTGGGGCGAGAAATTAGAAATGGGTCTAACAGTGGTAAATGCCTTGACTGTGGCATAGATGCCTAGACTCTCAGTCTTAAGTTAGTGGTTTGTGCACTCTGGATCAGCACCTCTTTGAGCATTCATTTTCTCACCTATGCAATAGGAGCGCTGGTGTGCTAGTGGACAAGGAGTTGTGTTGCCAATACAAAGGCACATGGTTTAAATCCACCAGCTGCTCCAAGGAAGAAAGATGAGCAATCTCTTCCCGTGTGATTTACAGTCTCTGAAAACCTACTGGAAGGTCAGCTGTGAGTCATTTCCAACTCAAAGGCACACAACAACAACAACAGCAGCTTATGTCAGGGAGCTCTGATAGTATAGTCCATAGAAGGTTACACTGCTAACCTAAGGGTGGTCAGTTCAAATCCACCTGTGGCTCTGCAGGAGAAAGTTGAACAATGTCCTTTTGGGTGATTTACAGCCTCTGAAAACTGGCTGGAGGGTCAGCTATGAGTCTATTCTGACTCAAAGCCAATGAGCTTATGTCTTGGAGTTTCTGTGCTGATAGTCTAGGAGGAGAGCAGATTAGAAATCCTTTGTAAGCTGTGGATTTCTAAGTCACTGCAGACCAAATGTGAAGACCAAGGAAGGCAAGTCAAGTTAAGGAGAGATGTGAGGTCTCTGGTCATAGTTCCTGAGGCTTCTCATGGAAGACAGACAAGGGATGGAGGAAAGGAGGGTGACAGTGGCACTAGATGGGGATGGCCAAGGCAGAGGGTGGACATTGCTGGCTGCTCTTGGATTGTTTCAGAACACATATGACCGCTGCCCCATGGAGCTGGTCCGCTGCATCCGGCACATTTTGTACAACGAACAGAGGCTGGTCCGAGAAGCCAACAATGTAAGTGTCCCATGGGCTTGGAGGGAGAAGTTGGGAATATCTTTCACACACAGTTCTCTGCAGACACAACTGTGTTTATATACAACACTGGCATGAGAAAAACCAATGAAATAAGAGACATGAGTAAATGAGAGAGACAGTATCACGTGCAGGTGTAGAGTGACCACCAGAGTTCAATCCTTGATTTTACCACTTACTAGCTATGTGACTTTGGAAGCTTGCTTAAATTCTCTAAGTCTTTGCTTCTTCCTTTGTAAAATAGGAATAATAGTCAGTAAGGAGTTAACTGACAACCCTAAGGTGGGTAGTTTGAATCCACCAGCTGCTTCATGGGAAAAAGAATGACATTTCGGCTTCTGTGTGATTTACAGCCTCTGAAAACCCACTGGAGGGTCAGCTGTGAGTCAGTTCCAACACAACAGCTCACACTCTACAGCAGCTGAGGTTGGAGTTTTTGAGTCATAAAGTTGTTGGACGGATTAAATGAGATAATAGAATGTAAACCAGGGACAAATAAATGGAACATTGAAAAGAAGAGGGAGCCCGAAAACACACATTCTAAAGACTTAATTGATGTCCAGGGTGATGTTACAGATCATCAGAGAAAAGGCTTGACTTTCAGGAAGTGGCAGTATCTGTGATCTGAATGGGGGAGAGGTCAGGGTTGGGAGAACACAGGCAGCCTCAGAGAAGTGAGACCCAAAGAGGAGAAACAAGGGCTTATCTCTCATATTCAAGACTCTTCTGTCTCTCAGGTTCAACATCTGCATGGATAGTAGTATAAATGCTGTATTATCTGCAGTGTAGCAAAAATGAATTTCTTAAAATGATATAGCAGAGTTAAAGACCTTAGGATAGTGCATGGAGTTTTTCCTTACTTATAGATACAGACTTCAAGAATTGTGCATTCCTTCAATAAACACTGACTGAAGGTCTGTTGCTAGGCTAGGGCTAGAGAACTAGGTCAAAGGCCTGGTCCCGCCTGAAAGGAATTCAGGTGATGAGAGAGTCGAATGGAGAGTCTGAGTGAGTGACTGCTGTGGCAAGTTATGTGGAAAAAGCACCTAGGTCAGATTGGGCCAGGTGGGCGGGGGCAGTCCTGAGGTTAGGGAAGTCTGACCAACAGTAACAGCAGTTTATTTGAAGGGAGGAAGATAGGAGCTCTCTTGTCACATTCAAAGACTTGCACGTTGTTCTGTGCCAGTTGGGAGAAAGGAGTCAATAGGGGATTCTCAGTGGGTAAGGCTGGAGAGAGGACAAAGGCCAGGTCACAAAGACCAGGCTCTTCCCAAAAGATGGCCACCCTTGATTTGATACAATCACAAAGCTACATGTAAAAAAAACAAGCAAATAAATTTAGCCCAAATGAAATCTATGTCTATGGCAGCTATGGAGCTCTGGTGACCTGGTGAGGAGTCACACTGCCAACCCAAAGTCAGGGAATCTGAATCCAGCAGTTTCTCTGAGGGAGAGAGTTGGGCAGTCTCCTCCCATTCTATTTACAGCCTCTGAAAACCTGCTGAAGAGTTAGCTATGAGTCGGTTCCTACTTGATGGCTGCGAGTTGAGTTGTGGCTAGGGGGTTTGATCAGGGAGATTCCTCCTCTTCGCCATCAAAGTGTTTATGCACACACCTCATGTTCAAGGCCTGAGGATTCAGTGGTGAACAAGACAGACAAGGTCCTAATTGGGAGGAACTCACATCTTAGTCCTGGGAGATAGACAGGAAATGATGAAACAAATACTCACTGTCAGATAAGGGTGATATTACATTAATACTCGTCTAAATTTTTTTTTTTAATTTGTCATTATTTTAAACCCCAAACCAACATTTGCCAATTCCGTATTTTTCACATGTACAATTTAGTGACACTAATTACAATAATGATGTTCATCCACCATCGATATCCTAAGTTTTTCTTCACTATAAGCAGATACTCATGGCTTCCTGAGAAGTCCCCCTTTCACCTGTCCTGCCCCTAATAAGCCACTGATAAACTTTGGTCTCTAGACATTTACCTTTTCTGGATAATTCCTCTAAATGGGAGTCGTATAATATTTGTCCTTTTGTGACTGATTTCCTTCACTTAGCATAATAGTTTCTTTTAGTATAAAAGGTTCGCCCATGTTGTAGCTTGTATCTGGATTTTGTTTTTGGTGGTGGTGGGGTAACAGTCCATCATATGTTTATGCCACGTTTGACTTGCCCAGTCATCTGTTAATGGGCATTTAGGAGGTTAGTACACCTTTAAACGGATCCATCATAGAAAGCCTTTCTGAAAAAAGTGCCTGTTGAAGTGTCAGCCTCAGGAAGATTTGTTGCCCAAATGTTCCAGACTGATGGAACAACAAGTACAACAGCCCTGAGGCAAGAACATGCTATATGTTCAAGGGACGGAAAAAATAGCTCATGTGGTTGAGCGACGTGGAATTGAGGGTAGGGGTGGGTAGAGACCGTCAGTGAGGTCAGTGGATTGAATTCTGACAACAGTTAATTAAAAAGTCTTCCCTGAAGACTTGGTCTGTTCTGAGTCATTTGTTGAAGGAATGACCAAACCAGGCTACTTGAATGGATGGGCCAAGGGAAGTCCTATGGCTGTAGCTTCATTTTGGAGTCTCTATGACTCTTGTGAGAAGTTTAACCGCTTGCTGGTGGAAGAAGATTGTTCAGCCATGAGGATGTCTTGAGGGAGGATACAGATAATGTGTGTCTACAGTGTTATTCCCCACTGTACCTTCAGCACCTAGCATGATCTTTGGCTTTGGGTCAACAAATGAATGTGGAATGATCAACATTAGTAAGAAAATCTATGTTACATTTGTGACATGTTGAGCTCTAGTTTGTCTGAAGGGAATTAGATGGACCCTGTTAGGGATACCTGGAGCCTTAGTAGCAAAATGCATAACGTACTAGGCTCCTTAACTAATATTTACATGCTATAATGAACTGATGGCCTTTTCAGTCCCTTGCTGTGCATCTGAGAGCTGGACAATGAATAGAGATGACTGAAGGAGAATTGTTGCCTTTGAATTGTGGTGTTGAATATCCTGCAGACTACCAAAAAAAAAAAATCCAGATATGTCTTGAGGAAAGTACAGCCAGAGTGCTCCTTGGAGGCAAAGATGGTGAAGCTTCATCTCACATATTTTGGGCATGTTTCTAGGAGAGGCGAGTCCTTGGGGAAGGCTATCATACTTGGAAAGGTGGGGACCTGGTGAAGGAGAGGAAGACCCTCAACTAGGTGGATTGACACTGACTGCAGCAGTGAGCTCAAGGGTATCAGAGATTGTAAAGATGGCACAGGATAAGACAGGGTTCAGATCTTTTGTTCATAAGGTTACTGTGACTCAAACTTGACAGCACCTGATGACAACAACAACAACAAATATTTGCAGCTTCAGGAACTCAGTGGAGGGTCACAATGAATTGACATCAATTCAATGCCTTTGGTAGATCTGAAATAGAAATTTCTGTTATGGTTTATGAAGGTACCACAGTCGACCAGGTCAAGTTTGTACTCTCTCATTCCCTGCTCTACCTCAATTTTGGCAAATGACAGTCCTGGGGTTCTTGCTCCTTTAGATTTGGAGATTAAGATCTGCACTATTTGGCACTTCATGAAGTGGAAGCTTCTCCTTCCATTGTCACCACCCACTTCACTGTTGTCTGTTGTCTCTACCCAATCTGTCTCCAGTGCAGCTCTCCTGCTGGGACCCTGGCTGACGCCCTGTCCCAGAAGCACCTTCAGATCAACCAGACATTTGAAGAGCTGCGACTCATCACACAGGACACAGAGAACGAGCTGAAGAAGCTCCAGCAGACTCAAGAGTACTTCATCATCCAGTATCAGGAGAGCCTGAGGATCCAAGGTGAGGAAGGTGCAGCGGAAAGGGAGGATTTGAGGAGGGAGGAAAGAATTGTCTTTGAGCTCAAGGGTAAGGACTTGACTTGCCCATCTTCCAGAATGTGGTAGGAGTGAAGGCTCCCAGTGATAATACCTCTGCCATGGACCAGGCTCTGTCCTAAGCTCTTTTCACATACTATTCCATTCAGCCATCACAACCATCATGATGTAGGTAGTTGCATTATCTCTATTTTGCAAACCAGTGAAACTGAGATTCAGGGAGAATAAATAACTTGCCCTAGGTTGCTTGTAGACTGCAGAGCTGGATCTCAACTACAGACATGTCGTAAGATCTCTACTAACCACTGTTCTTCCACTATTCTACCACTTTGGGTATTTAAATGCATGAATGAATATGTGTAAGGATGTGGACAAGGTGTTTCCCAGCCAGAGGAAGAACTCAGCCTGGAGACTTCTGATTGAATTAGCCTAGAAACAGAAGGAATGCTAGAAGTTCCCCTCCATGACTTCCTGTGTAGAAGACAGGGCTGGGAGGAGAGGTTGCCAGTAGAAAATTCTCCTTTCTCTTAAGTTCTTGACTTGCCACTGGCTTCCATGATGAAACTATGGGCATAGTATAACTGGCACAGAAGAAATTAGCTCAAGATAGGACAGGGTTCGGATCTGTTGTTTATAGGATTTCTATGAGTTGTACTTGACTCCACGGTACATCATAACAACAGAGATTTACAGCCTCAGAAACCCAATGGAGGGTCAGTATGAATTGAAACCAGTTCAGTGTCCACAAGTTGGAGAGTCTCAAGAGATGGCATGTCTTCTTCCCCACAAGAGGTCACTCCAGACTGGCCACAGTGATGTGCCACCTTGTCTTAGTGAGAACAGGAAATGTCAGGCGGCTGTATCTTTGCTGCTTTTTCCCCGCCACTACCTTTTTTTTAAATTTTATTTTATTAATTTTAATGAATGTTTACAGAGATTTTGAATTTCCATTCATTCATTGTTGCATTTTTCTCTCTGCCCACCCCTCCCCCCCCAGTTTGCTCTTCGCTTTGAAAAGTAAAAGAAAAATTCTTTCGTTGGTATACAATCCACCACCCCCCCAGTACACTCCACTATACAGCCTTCATTCTGGACTCTTGTCCTGACCATAATACCCAATCATATATTGCTTTTAAACTGTTCTCTCTCTCATCTGTTTCAATGCAATCTACATAATTTATCAAATTTTTCTCAGTTACACCCCAACCCTGATGTCAGTCCTGTTCTACAACAGTGGCACTATGAAGTATTTGTCCTTTTGTGACTGAGATATTTCACTCAGCATAATGTCCTCCAGGGTCACCCATTTTGTTGTTTATTTGTTTATTTATTTTTTTTGTGTGTGTACCGTCAAATCAGATCTGACTGGTACAGGAGGCAATTGTTCCTCCTTCTTCAGCAGAGCATCTGGTGGATTCGAACCATGCACCTATGGGATTGCAGTGCAGCTTCTTACCCATTTTGAATAATATTGCATGAGTTCCTTATTTTTCAATGCTGCATAGTATTCCATTGTGTGACTATACCACAGCCTCTCTATCCATTCGTTTGTTGATGGACACTTAGGTTGTTTCCAACTCTTTGCTATTGTGAACAAAGCTGCAATAAACATGGGTGTGCATATATCTGCCTGGGTGGCAGTTATGGTTTCTTTGTGGTATATTCCCAGTAGAGGAATTGCTGGGTCAAATGGTATCTCTACTTGCAACTTTTTGAAAAAAGGCCATACAGTCTTCCATAGTTGCTGCATCATTTTGCAATCCCACCAACAGTGAGTAAGTATTCCAGTTTCTCCATAACCTCGCCAGCATTTGTTGTTTGGTACTCTGTTAAATTTTGCTCTTCTGACTGGGGTGAGATGATATCTCATAGTTGTTTTGATTTGCATCTCTCTTAGAGGTAGGGATTTTGAACATTTCTTCATGTGCTTGTTGACCATCTGAATATCTTCTTTGGTGAAGTGTCTGTTGATATCCTGTGTCCATTTTTCAACTGGATTGTTTACCTTTATCTTGTTGTGGTGTCCACTAGCTTTTTAAGAAAGAAACTTAAGTCATTGATTCAAGTGAGAACCAACTCATAGCTGACCCTCCAGCAGGTTTGCAGAGACTATAACTTGCATGGGAAGAAATTGCCATGGAGCAGCTGGTGGATTAGAATTTAATGTCTTTGGATTGGCAGCACAACTCCTTACCACTGGGCCATAAGAGAATACACACACACACACACACACACACACACACACACACAGAGCTACCTGGTAGTGATATATACATACATATGTGTATGTATGTATGTGTATAAATGTGAATATACATGTATGTGCATACACACACACACAAATATCTATATCTGATGGCTAAGTGGTAAGGTGGTGTGCTAACTCAAAGACACATGTTTTGACTCCATTAAATGCTCTATGGGAGAAAGATGGGCAATATCTTCCCATGTGATTTATTGCTTCTTTTTTTTTTTTTTTTGATTTATTGCTTCTTAAACCCACTAGAGGGTCAGCTATAAGTCAGTTCTAACTTGATGGCACATACCAATAACAGAGGAGAGAGAGAAAGAAGAGAGCGCGAGCATTCTTCTAAGTTGTACAGCACTCTTCTGTCAATTTGCTGTACTGTGGTAATCTGCATTTGCTGGGAAGTTGAAACTTGTGCCACTGGGGACCAAATGCCATAACAGTTGCCCATGGTGGACAGTGTTTGGTGGAGCTACCAGTTTAAGACAGGTATGGAAGCAGGAGTGGCATCCACTTCCTAAACCATGTGCCTCTGGAAACTCCATGAACCTGGAGAAAAGAGGATAGTTATAGAAAGGCTTCAGGCCTTTTGTTCACAGGGTCACTATGAGTCATGTTTGACTGGATGACAATCAACCACACCACAATGTGTGTGTGTACTATAAATATCCCTCTAAGTATTGCTTTAGCTGCATCTAACAATTGCTTTAGCTGCATCTAACAAGGTTTTTATTTTTGTTCAGTTTTAAATATTTTCTAATTTCTCTTGTGAGCAATTCTTTACCAATACATTATTTTTAAATATTTTATCTCCAAATATTTTTTCTAGATGTCGTGTTTTATTTATCTCAATTTTTCCTTGTTATTAAATTCCATTGTGGTAAGAAAACAAATGCGTTATGATATCAACCCTTTTAAACTTACTGAGACTTGTTTTATGGCCAGCATATGCTTCCCATATGTTCATGTGCACTTGAAAAGAGTGAATGTTCTTCCATTTTTTAAAAAAAATAACAACAAACTCAATAATGTTAACATAAAAGGTATGGTCTAAAAAACAAAGCAAAGCTGTATCAGTTTTTGTATTTGGTTTTTTAAAATTTTAATAAACATTTACAGAGATTTGGGGTTTCCATTCATTCTTTGTTGCACTTTTCTCCCTGCCCAGCCCTCCCCCTGCTTCCCCCTGCCCCAGTTCGCTGCTCTCTTTGAAAAGTAAAAGAAAAATTCTTTCTTTAATATACAATCCCCCCGCACCCTTCCCACTGCCCCAAGTACACTCCACTATGCAACCTTAATTGTGGACTCTTGCGATAACCATAATACTCTCTCATACATTGCTTTGAAATTATTCTTTCCCTCATCTATTTCAATGCAGTATACGCAATTTATCCAGTTTTTCTCCTTCTTACCCCAACCCTGATATCAGTCCCATTTTACAGCAGTGGCACCATGCAGTATTTGTCCTTTTGCAACTGAGCTATTTCAATCAGCATAATGTCTTCCAGGGTCACCCATTTTGAATAATATTGCATGAGTTCCTTGCTTTTCAATGCAGCGTAGTATTCCATTGTGTGAATATACCACAGCTTTTCTATCCGTTTATTTTTTGATGGGCACTTGGGTTGTTTCCAACTCCTTGCTATTGTGAACAAAGCCTCAGTAAACATGGGTGTGCATATATCTGCTTGGATGTCAGTTATGGTCTCTTTGGGGTATTTTCCCAGTTGTGGAATTGCTGGGTCAAATGGTACCTCTACTTGCAACTTTTTTATTTAAAATTTTTCTTTATTGTATTATTTTTTACGTGTACCGTCAAATCAGATCTGACTGGTACAGGAGGAGATAGCCCCCTCCTTCTCCAGCAGAGCATCTGGTGGATTTGAACTGCTACTTGCAACTTTTTGAGAAAGCGCCATAGCACCTTCCACAATGGTTTCACCATTTTACACTCCCACCAACAGTGAATAAGGGTTCCAGTTTCTCCACAACCTCACCAACATTTGTTGCTTGCTGTTCTGTTAAATTTTGCTATTTTGACTGGGGTGAAATGATATCTCATAGTTGTTTTGATTTGCATCTCTCTTAGAGGTAGGGATTTTGAACATTTCTTCACGTGCTTGTTGGCCATCTGAATATCTTCTTTGGTGAAGTGTCTGTTCATATCCTGTGCCCATTTTTCAATTGGATTATTTTTCTTTATCTTGCTGTGGTGTGTATTTGTATTTTTGAGTGACATTGCTTAACATTTTTTTCCCCTCTGTCTCTTTAATGCTAGGCTAAAGAGAAGACATGTGAATTCTTTTCAGTCTGTTGTGAAATCATACATTATGTAGCCTTTGGAAACTGCCACTGTGTTCCTGTAAGATATTAAGAAGGAAAATAACAGCATATGGATTTATGAAAAGAATTTTTATTTTGTGGATCCCCGATAAGGACCTTAGAAATAGTCTACACTGGAGTCTGCTGTCTCTACTTTGAGAATCACTTATCTTTGTCTTTTTTAATTTTTTTCTTTTCCTTCTTGTGTACATTGAATCGGATCCTACTGGCACAGGAGGAGATTGCCCCACTGTCTCTAGTGGAGCATCTGGTGGATTCAAACCACACGCCTTCGGGATCACAGTGCGGCCTCTTGCCACTAGGCCACCAGAGCTCCACTTATCTGTGTTTTACGGATTTTTTCTTAAAACTAGTTCTATGATTTGCTGAAAGAGAGGTATCAATTTATTCTGATTTTTCTGTCTAGTTCTTCAGTTAACACTGTAAATGTATCCTTGATGTATTTTGAAGATTCATAATGACACAAATACACGATTATTACTCCTTAATTATGAAATGTCTTTAGTCCTTTGTTTTGAAGTCTCCTTCTGCAGATATTAATATAACCACTCCAGTCTCTTCTGCTTCAATGTTACATATTTTTATTCTTATTTTTATTTAAAATGTGCCTTTTGTAGACAGCATAAAGTTGAGTTTGCTTTGCTTTTGAGGTTTTTAGTTCATTAATACTTAATAAGAGAACAAACAGGTCTGTCTTGGAGAGGGCGAAAGCAAGTTTCTCCTTGGAGGCTAGGATTTTGAAGCTCCATCTCATATACTTATGGGCATGTGGCCAGAAGGGACTGGTCCTTGGAGAAGGACTTCATGTTTGGAAGGGCAGAGGGACAGTGCAGGAGAGGAAGACCCTGGATGAGATAGACTGACACAGTAACTGGGGCAATGGGGGTAGGTGTGTCCCAGTCAATGAGAGTGGCTCGGGACAGAGCAGGGTTCAGAGCCGTTGTACATAGGATCACTTTGAGTAGCGGGCAGCTCAATGACACATAACAACACAATGTAATTATTTATACAATGTCCCATTTTACTACATATTTTATTTTACTCTGTATCTCTGTCTTTTTGCACTTGAATTCTTAACGTTTTGGAATCATTTTTATTCTTTGGAATTCCATTTTTATTATCTTTTAAAGTTCTTTTTCCCAGAGAAGAGGCTCACAGACAAGGCCTTTTGAGGGAGACCTCTCATCTTTGGGCATCTCAGCTTGCCATTGTTGGTATCTGTCCCATCAAGAGCATGTGGTGGCCTTGGAATTCCTTTTGGAAGTAGGAGGACATGGCTGTGGTGTTCTGTCCCCTTCTCCAGCCCAGTTTGCCCAGCTGGCCCAGCTGAACCCCCAGGAGCGGCTAAGCCGGGAGACAGCTCTTCAGCAGAAGCAAGTCTCACTGGAGGCCTGGCTGCAGCGCGAGGCCCAGACTCTGCAGCAGTACCGCGTGGTGAGTGGGGTCCTGAGTTCTCACCCAGCAGTGAACTCTGTGGGGACCAGAAGCCTGGAGAGAGGAAGGACAGCGGGACCCGAGAGAGTGGGTGGCTGGGTTCTCTCCTTCCTGTAGAAGCCTGTGAGGCAGAGCAGGCTGGAGGGGGGGACAGGCCTGTGAGAGGCTGGTCCCTGGGCCCCTGTTCTCAGGGGGCCCTGCAGGTTTGCTCTCAGGAGTCAGGGTGCCTGGTCCCCTTGCCCCAGGAACTAGCGGAGAAGCATCAGAAGACCCTGCAGTTGCTGAGGAAGCAGCAGACCATCATCCTGGATGACGAGCTGATCCAGTGGAAGCGGCGGCAGCAGCTGGCTGGGAATGGAGGCCCCCCCGAGGGCAGCCTGGACGTGCTGCAGTCCTGGTACTGGACGCAGAGGGAGGGGGCAGGATGGGGGCTGCTGGTCCCAGGCTCATCTGTCACTGAGCACATGGGCGGCGAGCTGCTCTGGCTGACACAGCTCTTATTTCACCAGTGGCTCTGGCTCCTGGGACATACTTTGTGCCCACCGTGGGCACCTGCCCCAGAGGTCACTGTCTGGGGAACAGGTCAGGGCTGGCAGGCTGCAGAGTGACCCTGAGCTTGGCTGGACAAGTCAGGGTCCCCCGTCCTCTGTATTTCTCTGTATTCAGGTGACTCTGCTCTAGGTGGAGTAGTTTCTGGGTGGGGCCTTGCTGGGTGGGCCCCTTCTGGATGGGTCTGGGGTGCACCTCTGGGGGTTCTCCAGGCTGGGAGCCTGTGGCCTGGTGGAAGGGTTGTGAAGTCACTGTCCTCCCGTCGGCCTCGGGGCTCCTGCGCAGGTGTGAGAAGCTGGCCGAGATCATCTGGCAGAACCGGCAGCAGATCCGCAGAGCCGAGCACCTGTGCCAGCAGCTGCCCATCCCGGGCCCCGTGGAGGAGATGCTGGCGGAGGTCAATGCTACCATCACGGACATCATCTCAGCCCTGGTGACTAGGTGACTGCCCCCCTTGGCCGTGGGTAGAGGGGCCTGCGGGGACATCAGGTGCCTTCCCACCCTGAGAGCTCTCGCTGAGTCCTTGTCTCTCTGCCTCTCACACTGGCCTGTCTCCTGTGGCTGTGACTGCTTAACCTGGCCCAGTTTCTTCTGGGGACACTACGTGGGCTGCTCTCCTGACCTCCGCACCCTCCAGACTGCCTGTGGCCTCCCTGGCATCAGGGGCTGTGCCCTGTGGTCTCCCTTATCCTGCTGTGCGAGGCAGCCCCCCAGGCCAGAGACCCCCGAGCCCTTTGCTCTGAGCCAGCCCCTCGTCATCTGTGGTCCTTTGTGTCCCTGCAGCACATTCATCATCGAGAAGCAGCCCCCTCAGGTCCTGAAGACCCAGACCAAGTTTGCAGCCACCGTGCGCCTGCTGGTGGGCGGGAAGCTGAACGTGCACATGAACCCGCCCCAGGTGAAAGCAACCATCATCAGCGAGCAGCAGGCCAAGTCTCTGCTCAAAAACGAGAACACCCGCAAGTAATTGAGCTGCTCTCTTCCCTTTTGCCCCATCCTGAGCTCAGGCCTGCGGCCTTGCGTGTGCTCTGGAGCTGTGTGGTGGGACAGTGTGACTCTTTCCCTGTCGCCTTTTGTCCTAGAATTCCTGATGTGCCCACATGTCTCTCGGGCTCCCTCTCTATTCTGCTGCACACTACATTCTGCCTGCTTTCAGCCTGGCACAGCCATTGGACATGTATTGCTTTGCCATGTATTCTCATGCGTTTGCCTTGCACACACTTTCAACAACAGATGTTGCTGTGCTGGGGTGTTCTACTAAAGGTGCTCAGCTTTGGGGAATCCAGTGTGATCCGGACAAGTTGGCTCTGCGACAGGGAGATGTCCAGGACAATAGAAGTAGATTATAGTAGGAGTTGTGACGATGTGGTGGTGTTCTCAGGCTTAAAGGAATAGCTCCCCTTTTGAGGCCAGGATTGGCTTGTGCTGCAGGAGGAGTATCAGAAGGCCATGTGTGGAGCTCAGAGCCGGCCACCTCTGATGTGCAAAGTTTTGTGGGAGACTTGGTCCATAGGGTTCATCATGCAAGTCAGAAATGTTTTATTAAGTGCCTGTCATGTGGTCTCGGGATAGAGTGGTAGAAGCAGCATGGGACGTTCTTGCTCTCTTGTTTCTGTTAGTTGCCCATTCTAGCTATTTCCCTCTTCTCTGGTGTGTTTGAGTCTAGAAAACTTCTGCTAGGGAGAATTATCATTGCATAGTATTCTGTTGTGATCCTTACGGTTTGCATGGACTGATTTTCAAAAGTAGATTGTCACGCCTTCCTTCCTCCCCTTAGCCTGTAAGCACCACGGAAGCCTCTGAGTGATCCTGCTGGTATTTTAGATACCAGGGGCTTATCTTCCAGTGTCACAGCAACACAGAAGCCACTATCGTGTCACAAATTGACAGATGAATGGTAGTCTAGTGCTTTAGAGATGCTTATATTTTAACCTGCGAGAGAGTTATCAGTACCTTTTTTTAAACAATAAGATAGTTGTGAAAATGATGAATTCAACAAAGTGAGAACAAAATGATGCCGCGTCTTGGGGGGGGGGAGAGGTTGAGCCACATTTGTGATCAAGGAAGGCCATTTGGGGACATACCTGAGCTGAGGCCTAGACTAGGAGAAGGGACAGGATGGTTGGGGTAACAGGAAGAGCACAGGCAAACAGTTTTGAGGTGAAGCTTGGCATCTTCAGCAAAGAGATCGGGCCAGTGTGGCTTGTGTGTCCCATGTTAGGTAGCAGTATTCAGTGAAAGGGAATGGGGCCTGGATCATGAAGGATTTTGTAGTCTGTAGTCATGGTTTTTATTTTAAGTATCTTTAAAACTGTTGGAGTTTTCCAAAGCCCCCCATGTCCATCTCAGGCCCCAAGGCATTTTTATCCTAATGGTTGGGACTCAGCTTTCACTCATGAAGACCTTTGGGCACTCTGGTTGACCAGAAGGCCGTAAGCTCATTAGACACTAGTGCACTTCCTAGAGGATTGCAGCAGGGCTGCCAATAGGGCTTTCTGGAGTGAAGGCCCCAGACTAAGGTCCAGGCAGAGCCCTTCTCCCGCTCCAGGGCCCTGTGAGCTGAAGCACCCCCTCTCCTTTGCAGCGAGTGCAGTGGGGAGATCCTGAACAACTGCTGTGTGATGGAGTACCACCAAGCCACAGGCACCCTCAGCGCTCACTTCAGAAACATGGTGAGAACAGGCCCTGGTCTCTAAGAGGGAACACCTTCTTTCAGCTCAGAGCTGAGTCCTCATAAGCAGCTGCCGTTCCCTTCTCCCTCTCATCTCCCTCCCTGCAGTCCCTGAAGAGGATCAAGCGAGCTGACCGGAGAGGCGCAGAGTCTGTGACGGAGGAGAAATTCACGGTGCTGTTTGAGTCTCAGTTTAGCGTTGGCAGCAATGAGCTGGTGTTCCAGGTGAAGGTGAGTCCCTTGCCTGCCCTTTTTCTGAAAGCTTCTCAGAGGCCCAGAGAGGTGAAGGAAGATGTCTGCTTGAGCCCATGCAGCTGCATCGGGAAACAGTCGGAGAGTTCTAAACCCTCACACAGATCTCGAGCCAGTTATGCATGATGCCAGCAGAAAACCTACTTTTACTGCTGATAACTGGTTGCTAGGTGTCCTTGGGTGGTTCATATGGTCGTGCTTGGCCATTAACCAAAAGGTTAGAAGTTTGATTCCACTAAAAGGCTCAGCAAATGAAAGGCATGTTGATTTACTTTTGAAAAACCAACCCTTAGAAATCCTAGAAAAGTAGTTTTACTCTGATACGGTGTTAGGGTCACCATGAACTTGAATCAAATTAATGGCAATTGAATACTGGTTTCTGGTTGCTAGGTTAAAGTCTGGCACCAGCCCACACAACTTGGGCACTGACCCAAGGAGAAACACGCTGTGTTTTTTGGTGTCTTTGTTTTGTTGGCTGGGCTTGTCATGGGGATGGTGGTCACACACTGTCCACTCTCATTGCTTGGGCTCCCACAGACCCTGTCCCTCCCCGTGGTTGTCATTGTTCACGGAAGTCAGGACCACAATGCCACTGCCACTGTGTTGTGGGACAACGCCTTTGCTGAGCCGGTGAGTTCCTGGGGGACCCTGCCTCAGCCTTCCAGGCCTCCGGTCTCCTCTTTGGGTCAGCCCCATCTTTTGGTTCCCTACTGAGTGGTCCCTTCACTAACTCAGGACTAGCCCCAAGCTGAAGGGAGGACAGCTGATGGACATGTCCCCTGCCCGTGCTCTAGGTTTTCTAGGTCTGTGAGCCTGGTCTGTGGACTCTGGGTTCTAATTCTTTCTTGGTTGGTGGTTCTAGACCTCCCTGGTCTGGGTCTCCATCCCCACAGGGCATCCTTCTTGCCTTTGTCCCCTGCCTTTCTGTCACCTGGGTCTATACTTCCTTTTCTGGTGCTTTCTCAGTCTCTTTGTCTGTTGCCATCTCTGTGTGTGTTCACGAGTGAGGGAGAAAGAGAAAGAACTCCTTCCAGCTCCCTCCATCTGCATTTCCCCCTTTCTTCTCCCTCTCAGGGCAGGGTGCCATTCGCCGTGCTGGACAAAGTGCTCTGGCCGCAGCTGTGCGAGGCGCTCAACATGAAGTTCAAGGCAGAAGTGCAGAGCAACCGGGGCCTGACCAAGGAGAACCTCGTGTTCCTGGCGCAGAAACTCTTCAACAGCAGCAGCAACCACCTGGAGGACTACAGCAGCATGTCCGTGTCCTGGTCCCAGTTCAACAGGGTGAGGACCACCAGGGTACTGTCTAGGACCAGCTCCCTGCCTCCACCCCCCAGCTGGCCCTTGCTGAAGTCAGGGGAGAAGGGTGCTCATACCCTGAGGAATCAAGGCAGAGGCCTGAGGACTTAGACTTCAGGGGAACGCCAGGCCAGGGCGGAGAAAGGAATGTGCAGCTGGGAGTCAGGATTGCTGAGCTGTAGCCCTGGATCTGTGAACTCCTCTGCCATGCTCCTTCCCTTCTCTACACCTCCGTTTCCCTAGCTGTAAAATGTTGGGGTTGGGTGAGAATAACTTTGGCCATCCCTTGCCAGCTTGACAGTCTTTTGTCCCTAACAACCCTCTGCCTTCCATAGTAGAGTCCTTGGGAAGCACAAACCTTTTAAAGTTGATGGATCAGAACCACCCAGAGATGCCTCAGCAGAAAGTCCTAGTGGCTGGCTCTTGAGTGAAAGGTCACAGCCTTGAAAACCCTATAGAGCAGTCCTACTGTGCACACGTGAGGTGGCCCCGAGCTGGAGAGGATGCACTGACTAATAACGATAGCATCACTCCCTCTCCCGTCCCCTGTGGGATTATCTTAGGCCCCTGTGTCTCAGAGGCCGGAACATTTCCTCTCTAGGGGGATTGTGGCAGTAGCTGGGGGTCTGTCTGCTGCCGTGTGGGTGAAGAATTAGGGGCAGACAGGGAGTGGGAGTGGGAGCACACAGGCCGGCTCCTGGATCACCTGACGGGGGTCTCCCTGCGCTCTCAGGAGAACCTGCCGGGCTGGAACTACACCTTCTGGCAGTGGTTTGATGGAGTGATGGAGGTGCTCAAGAAGCATCACAAGCCCCATTGGAACGATGGGTGAGAATTAGGGGGTCGAGGGGCATGGAGGCTGATGGGCTGGCCCCGGCTTCGGGGAACAGTGGCTGGGGGCTCGGCAGTGACCAGAGTCCTCTGTGCACCTAGGGCTATCCTGGGCTTTGTGAATAAGCAGCAGGCCCATGACCTGCTCATCAACAAGCCCGATGGGACCTTCTTGCTGCGCTTTAGTGACTCAGAGATCGGAGGCATCACCATTGCCTGGAAATTTGACTCTCGTGAGCGCTCCTGTTTCCTCCCACCCCCACTCTGGCCCCAGTAGCCCTGTCTTCCCTGTCCTTTCTCCTGGCTCCCCACTAAGAAGGTACCTTCTGAGAAGGTGGGACCTGAACTGAGTGTGGAAGGAATGATATCGAGAAATACATTCCCTTTGTTTCCACTTCAGAGTACCTAAAACCATGACCCCACAGCCCCTAGAACTGCTGTGTGGGCCCTTCAGCAGTGTGACCCAGCCTGGCTGACATCTGCTTGCTCCCTGGGGAGGGTCACAAAGTCTGGGGTTGCCACGCGTGTTAGGAGCCTACGGAAAACCTCAGCTTGCCTGCAGGCCTGCCTGAGCTCCCCACCTCGCTGGCCCTCTTCCTGCTGCTGGCGGGCTGTGGGAATGAGATTGTCTTTTCCACAGCTGACCGCAACCTGTGGAACCTGAAGCCATTCACTACGCGGGATTTCTCCATCCGGTCCCTGGCTGACCGCCTGGGGGACCTGAGCTATCTCATCTACGTGTTCCCTGACCGACCCAAGGACGAGGTCTTCTCCAAGTACTACACTCCAGTGCTAGGTGCATCTTGCTCCCAGACCCTGAGATCTGTGGGGGGCTGTCTGAGGCGCCCTGCTTCCCACCCCCGCCCCAGCCCACAGAGCCAAGGCACCATTTCCCTGGTGGATTGTGCTCCATGGGTGGGTGTGATGAAAGTAAAGGCTTTTAGAGGTCACAGCTGAGGAGAGGGACAAAGGGAACTAGCCTTCTTCTCTGAAAAGCATGGAGCTGAGCGGGTTCTTGCGCCTGTACACATAGAGGAAGAGGTGGTTGTCCTGTGGGAAAGAGTTGGGACGCTCAAGCTAGAGGTTGCTGTTGTTGTTGTTATGTGTCATTGAGTTGCCTGCGACTCACAGTGACCCTATGTACAACAGCCCTAAACCCTGCTCTATCCTGTGCCAATCTTATTATCTCTGATACACCTACCTCTATTACCCCAGTCACTGAATCAGTCCATCTCATCGAGGGTCTTCCCTTCCTGCTCTGTCCCTCCACCCTCCCAAGCATGATGTCCTTCTCCAAGGACTGGTCCCTCCTTGCAACATGCCCAAAGTATGTCAAAGCTTCAGAATCCTTGCCTCCAAGGAGCAGCCTGGTAACACACCCTCTCTAGGACAAACTTGTTTGTTCTCCTAGCAGTCCAGGATATATTCAACACTCTTCTCCAGCACCACAGCTCAAAGTCATCAATTATCTTTCTATCATCCCTAGTCATTGTCCAGCTTTCCAGTGCATAGCAAGTAATTGCAAAGACCATGGCCTGTATCAGGTGCATCTTAGTCACCAGACTAACATCATTGCTCTTTAGTACTTTGGAGAGGTCTCTGACAGCTGACTTTCCCAATGCAACTCTTCTTTTAATTTCCTGGCTGCTGGTACCAAGAGTGTTGACTGTGGAGCCAAGCAAACTGAAGGTGTTAACAATCTTAGTTTCTTTACCACCTATCATGACCAGAGGCTCCCATGTTAACTGGCTGTTTTCACCACTCTCCATTCTCAGACTTTCCCCTCAAGTGGAGTGTAAGAAGTACAATGGGCAGGTGTTTCTCTTCCATTTATCCCAAATCCATGGCTTGGGTTTGCTCTGTTGTTGATTTGTTACTTTAGCTTGGGTGGGGGCAGGGAGAGAAGCGGCAGATGTCCAGGAAAGAAACCTGAAGAAGTTGGGCTGAAGCCAGGGGTTTTGCTAACTATGGGCTGGGTCCATCAGCAGGTGGTGATTGGGATTCTTGGAAAATCTCATCCCTGTAGAGGTCCCGGGTGACGTGGGGGCGGGGCAGACTGCTGGGGTAGGGGTAGTGGTAACACCTACCTGGAGACTGGGTCTCACCACTGTTCTCCCCTTGGCAGCTAAAGCCATTGACGGATACGTGAAGCCGCAGATCAGACAGGTGGTCCCTGAGTAAGTGTCCAGGGTCCTGGTTGGGGTCTTCTGCTGCATCTTTTGCCTCACTTGCCATCACTGGCCCTTCTGTCCATGCGCCCAGAATTAGCCTTGGGGAGAGAACAGGGCTCAACCATGATGTGATCAATACCCAGGACCAAGTGGAACACTATGCCCTTCTGAGCCCCTTCCCCATGTCAGCTCCTGCCTGGGCTCCCCGGCCAGCCACTGAGGCTGTTCTGCTTGCTTCTGCAGGTTTGTGAACGCATCTGCAGACTCCGCCGGGGGCAGCGCCACGTACATGGACCAGGCCCCGTCCCCCGCCGTGTGCCCCCAGGCTCACTATAACATGTACCCTCAGAAGTAGGTGGTCTTCTCAGGGGCTTCTACAGGGGAGGAACTTGGGGCTTGGCTTCAGACTGGACCCTGGATGGCTGGCAGAGGAATCTGGAGCTCCTCTGGGCCCCAACTACCCAGCCTCAACCTGGGCTCTTCATGTTGCCCAGGGGAAGGGAGAGAGTGAGATTCAGCCAGCAAAAAAACATGGAGTGTTGTGTGACCCTGGAAAAAGGACTGAACCTCTCTGATGTACAGTCTCCTCATCTTTACAGTGGAGGCAAGAAGACCCAACTAGGATTAAATGAGGCTAGTGCGCTTGGTTAGGCTTTGAGTGAGGGTCTAAGGGATGTAAGTGGGCTTGTTAAGAAAGATGCATTCGCTCGGTGGCTAGCCAACAGAAAGGTCTGTCGGTATACTTCTGAAGAATCGGCCACTGAACCCTCCGGAGGACAGTTCTGCTCAGACACCCATGAGGACTCTAGGAGTTAAAGTGACAGCTGGTTTGGTGATAAAGAGTGGGGTAGGCATGGGGTATCAGTTACTGCTTTTCTAACTTCCAGAATGAACTCTTCTGAGTGGAGGGAGTAGACCGGGCTGGGTGGTGATTGGCCTGGGACAGAGCAAATTGCAATAAGATGACTTCAGGCCTGCAGTGACAGACTGGGATTCCAGTCCTGACTTCACCTGCCCATGTGGCTGAACGCGGCTCCTCCGCTGTAAAATGGGCCAGGCGTGTACCTTGTAACACAGGGCTGTGCGCGTGGAGGCGTGTGCCTGAGACTCTCCCGTGCTAGGTGCTCCCTGGATGTCATTGCTGCTCATGGCTGTTGATTCTGACTCTTGTTGACCCTAAGTGTGTAAGAGTAGAACTGCTCTGTAGGGTTTTCCAGGCTGCGACCTTCCCAAAGCAGCTCATCAGGCTTGGCCTATGAGGAAACTCTGGGTGAATTTGAACCCACCTGCCTTTTAGCCAGTGCTTGAATAGAGCTTAAAGCATTTTACTAGATGCCTGTGGTCTAATCGCATAGCATCAGGGTGACCAGAGCTCACTGGCTCAGCCACCTCTTTGAACAAAAGAGGACAAGGAGAGGGAAATAAGTTCCCAAAGGTCACTCAATGCCAGGGCAAGAGATACATCCAGAAGTGGGGTGTCTCCTAAAGAGCCAGTGGGTGTGACTCAGTTTGAGTGGGGTGAGGACAGTCTGGCCAGATGGCTCTCTTTCTATGAGACTGGTTCAGATGGGGTGCGGGCTTGGGGCTGGGAGGCATGCCGCCACCTTCTGACAGCTCCTCTCTCTACCAGCCCTGACCCTGTCCTCGACCAGGATGGAGAGATCGACCTGGATGAGACCATGGATGTCGCCAGACACGTGGAGGAACTCTTACGTCGCCCGATGGACAATCTGGGCACTTCCCTTACTCCCCCAGATGGCTTTTTCACCACTGCCAGGGGCTCACTCTCCTGAATATCTGCACTCAAGCTTCTCTTTGGAAACAGTATTCAACGCAAAGGGATAACATTGTGATTTTCCCATTTCTGTGCATACCGATGGCTTTGCAGACTGCATGTATACACGTACATGCATGTACGCGCATGCGTATTTGTGAGTTGGTGCACAAAGTCTGTCTGCCTCTCCTTTGAGGCCATGTTTGTGGCAGCAGCAGCAGCAGCCTTTGTCTTTGAGTCAAGGTTAAGTCCATCTGTTGTAGAAGAGGCTGAGGTTCAATCACTGTAGGTACTCAGTGCAGGCAGACTGATTCCTTCTGTGCCCTTTATGTGCTTAGTAGCTATTTGGATGAAATTAACCAAGCAAGGGGGACTTGTAGCATCTTTCAGCTACAGTGTTATTCATGAGAAAGCAGCTTTGCCATCCAAATGTGTGTGTATACAGGCATAAACCACCCCTGCTGTGTCCACACAGGCCTATACATACACCCCCTGCTGTGTGTGTATACAGGTGTAAACATAAATCCCCTGCTATGTGTGTATACAAACATATACATACACACCCCTGCTGTGTGTGTGTGTGTATACAGGCATAAACATACTTACCTATTCTCAGGCACATGGAGGCTGAAGTTCATTTTGGGGTGATATTTTATGCCTTATGAATATGGACTCTGGACTTGTTTTCCCAGATGCTCCAAGAGTTTGTCTAAACCATGTTAGCTGCCTTTGAGTCACTCTGACTCATGATGACATTATGCACCATGGAACAAAACATTGCCTGGCCCTGTGTCAGCCTCCCAATCACCAGCTTGTTCTAGTCCATCCTTGTGGCCCTTGCGCCCGTCCACCTCATCGATGTCACCCATGATGGCCTCGTGGACGTTTACTTTCCCAGATAGGACGTCCTCCTGCAATTGATGTCTAAGCCACAGCCATACTCTCAACAGTAGAAGCCAGTTGTCATGTCGATTCTGACTTCTGTGTGTCAAAGTAGATCTGTGTTCCCCAGAGGGCTCAAGGGCTGAGTTTCTAGAAGCAGACCACTGGGTCTTTCCTTGGTAGCACCTCTGGGTGAACTCGAACTTCTCGCCTTTTGGTTAACCACTGGTTGTGTTAACCATTGGTACCACACAGGTAACACAGCATAGCTTGTTGGGTTTTAAATCTGTGATGCTATTTGCCTTACTTCTGCTGCCTTTATTCAACCTGTATCTATCCATCCTTCCCCAGCCTTCTATCCTTGTCTCCGTTTGCAATCTTGCTTACAGGCAAGGGGGGGACGAGGAAAAGACTAGCCGAGGACATGGCGGGTGACAAGGTCTGAGACTTGCAGGGTTGAGCTCCTTCCTTGGGGAAGAACTGCTGAGCGAGAGTTCAGCAACTCAGTGTGCATCCGTGGAACCCCAAGGGGACCAAGCTGACTCTTCGAGGAGAAGGAATCTGAAGTAGGGCTCATCACCCTCCTCACTGGCTGTGGTCTGACATGGCCTTGCTCACCGCCACACATGTTCCTCTCCTGGAACTCCATGAGCACAGGGACAGCTGAGTGTGGACGGACAGGACACAGTCCCAGGGGGGAACATCACTGACCTCTGAAGGAAGGTGGGGCCTAGATGAGCAAGTATTTGATACTTTGTACATAAATCACATTTGTGTAAACAAAACATTGTTTTTTAATAAATTTTTTTCCCATTATCTGCTGGTAGAGACCCTGGGCTGGGGAGCTAGCAGTGGTCTATGGATAGGGGAGGGACCCTGGAGTGTAAATCACCTTGGTCTTTTCCTATGTGGCTAGTATAACTTGAACCTGAAGCAATAACTGCCCCTTTTTACTGTGGCTCGTGTGTGTGTGTGTGTGTGTGTGTGTGTGTGTGTGTGTGTGTGTCGCCCCCCCCCCAGGAATGCTGTCAGTACCCCTTGGAATGTGAAAGAACTGGGTGAGGGGCCTTATAAGCAAGGGACTCAAGTTCTTGGAAAAGTGGTGCATAAGTTAGTATGGAGAACATGCCGGGAGGGAGGAACCGTGGTCCAGACCGCACCTTATCCGCGGCAGCTTGGAGGGACTCTGAAGCTGGTGGGGGCCAAGGAGTCCATCCCTGGCCAGGCCTGGCGCTCCCACCTTCCCGTCCTCTCTTCCCAGAGACCAGCAGGTGGCACCATCCCTCTTCCCACCAAGTTTGCTGTGTACTGTGTGGGCACAGGCAGCAGGGTGGACACGAGGCCCAACTCTTTGGCCTTCAACTGCTGGGCACCAAGCCTGGGGGAATGGCCCTCCACTCAGTAGTTCATGCTCGGGGGTGGGGGGGGGGCTGGAGAAGCAAGTACCTGTTGAGGTTTCTTCAGAGCTCAAAGCAAGGGGAAGAGAGGTGGGAGCTTGCAACCTGCCCAAAGGCGCTGGGGCCCCACACAGCTGGCGGGGGCGGGCGGAGGGAGCAAGCGAGACTGCAGCAGTGAGAGCACTAATCGCTCCATCTCTGCAGGGCAAGGCCTATCTCCTGCTGTCTCCATGGTGCTCACCAGCAGAGGGGGGAAGGGGCGGGAGCAAGCCCAGCGGGCTCTGACACTGGTGTGTGGCCAGTGTCTTCTAAATTATCACCACTGGCTGCCTGGGGGCCTGCAGCACTGGCCTAGCCTGTGAAGTGTTTATATGTTCTTCCCCCTGAGTGAACTGAGGAAAAAGTGATAATGGAACCAACTGTGGAGTGTGGGGGGTTCTTGAGAGGTGGGGTGGGAACAGCTTATCTGACCCCAACCAGGACACAGCAGTTTGCAAAAGAGCTGGACCCACAGAGGCCTTGACTGGGACGCTTTTCCATCCGGGAAGTCCCACCCCTTGCTCCCCCAGGGCTCCCCTTAGCTTAAGGCTGTTGGCTGACAGAAAATGGAAGGAAGGGATTTAGTGTCCAGAGCTAGACCTGCACTAGAGGACAGGACGGGAGGACAGGGTCACCAGCCTCAGTTGGAGCCCGCCCTTACCCCCTCTCCCTTTGATGGTCCAGCCCAGGCTCCCCCAGCCTTGAAGTTTCACTAAGGGTGACCACCACCAGCTATACACCGAGCTGCCACGCTCTCAGAGAGTTCTTTTATAATTTTTATTTCTGGAAGTTAAAGTAGATACAGCAATATACAAAAAAAAATAATAATATAAATTTTTACAGTATGAAGTATACACTGGAATTTGAATGCAGTGGCCAAGGACAGCAGCTTAAAAAACCACTGTGTAGGTAGGTTAAATGAGCCTTGGGGATCCCTTAGCTGGGTTGAGGACAGAAGAGTGACAGTGGAAGAAGGGTGACAGTGGAGAGAGAGTGGGCAGGTCCTCAAGGAGGACTCTTCCAGGGAGCAGTTGGAACAAGTGTCTCTCTGCCCCTCCCAGAAGTTTTGCTATGGCCAGAACTAAAAACAGACCTACATGTGACCTCCAATCAGGACCTTTAAACTATCAGAGAATTTCATAACTGTGACCAAGGTCCTGTGATTTAAAGCTAACAGTAAGCTCAGGCCTCCTCCAAGTATCCTCTGTTTTTAAGTTAAGCTTATTGTGAACTTAAGAGTTATGGGAGAAGGTTGGGTCAGTACTGTGTATATCAACTGTTTCAAGGTGGGAGGTAGGGGAGGCCAAGAAAAACACCATGTTGGTTTCAGAGAAAAAGATCTTCACCTCCATAATTGGAAAAACTGGCTAATTTGACTATAATGAATAAAAGTCCACAGAAATTCTGACCAGCTGAGCTAAGGCAGCATTGGGTCATATCTCCGGATCAGTTGTTAGTTGCCCTTGAATAGACGCGACCTCATACTGCCCCTATGGACAATCAAAGTCCAGATCCAGAGGCCAACTAGAATATGACTAAGTCTTCTGGAATGCCTGGTCAATGCTAGCTGACTGACAGATGGCAGCAGGCAGAGGGAAGGCCACACAGATCCAGGCTGCTGGTTCAGCCTCATACAGGGTGCCTGTGTGGTGGCCATAACTCACCAGCCATGCTGAGAGGCCAGGTTATCCTCCCTCATGCAAGGAATGGACCTTGTTTATCAGTAAGCTTTTGCCCCTGGGTTAACCAGTCAAGGAAGTGATTTCAGGTGCTGCTGGGAATCGACAAGAAACTGGGCCAACAACCATATTCCCTGAGCTCAACTAGATGCTTCACCTACAGTCTGAGCCATGTTCAATCCGGAACTCTCCTTATTTCACAAGATCCTGAGACTAGGATTCCCAAAGCACACAGGATGAGGGGCCTTTAGACACTAGAAAGAGGACATGCCACTACAAGGGCGAGGGGGGTACAGGGAAAAGAAGGAAGAATCACCCCAGCCCTTATCAGGTACCCACAGAAACCACTCAGGCTCTGGTACAGGAGCTACTTGGGGGAGAGAGGGATGAATGGTTTTAAGGGCTCCTCTGCCCAGCCTTACCCATTAAATAGGCAAACACATTAGAGGGGGAAAATAGAAAAAAAATTAATAAACAGCCTAACATGTTTAGATTCTCCTTAAACGTTCTTGCTTCAAAACAAAAGGCTAAGCCACAGCTTCAGATGTCTTTTAAAGGTCTGATCTGAAGCCTATTTCAAGAGTTCTGTAACTTATCAGCCTGAAAGAAGCTCAATACCTACAGCACCTGCGAGGCCATGAACTAAATATTCTTAAATACCGAAAGGCTATGCCTATTAGGGCTTTTTCTTTTGCCCTTAACTCTTTTTTTTTTAAAAACATTTAAAAAGACACCAAGGGGCTCTGGTAGTCCTCTTTTCTATTTGGATGTTAGCAAGGTTAAAAGTGCAACGCTAGGAGTATGTAGCTAGAGGCAGCCGGTGGCATTAGCTTATAGAGACAGGCAAAGGGGCGCCACTGGCACCAGGAGGCACTTGTCTAACAAAGAAAAAAATAAAACAAGCCGAGAAAGGACAAGGGAACAACAACAACAAAATACAAGACAATTCTTTTTTTCTTCCTAGTCCACCCCCTTTCCCCAGGCCCTGGTCACAGCCTCCGAGAATGCATTCTTATTCACGT